TTCGCGACATCACTACTGTTCAATTCCCACTTGATCTGTTCAAAGAAATAATCAACATTTAGTGGCTGTCTCCTAACCATTAATCATCTTTTTTTTGGTGATATTGATAGAATTTCAAATCACAGTTCAAAATGAACATGCTCTTCTCTTGCACAAGTCATTTGGCTCGTGATTTATGTACATTTCTGATTGTTCTGGAATTTGCACAGTAAACCAAAAAGTGAACAAATTGCAGTTAATATATAAACAATTTAGAATTAGAGAGAAACCACATACCTAAATGTTCATTATGGTTTGTCCCAGGGAGACCAATGCCTGGAAAGATTGCAATTGCTCTTCTTAAAGGGACATCCTAAAGCAATTTACTTTACTGAAATGCTTTCTATGTGAAGAGTGTGTCTTCTTTTTTTTTTTTATTTTACAAAAAAATTCTAAAGAAATTGGCACTTTTTATAACTTAACCTGGCTACACCCCCTGACCTTCAGTCAAACAACAGATCCTGTTACATCCTGGTTTGCTTAACCTAGTGGAGCTATTTTTAAGAGGCAGCAATTGCCCAGACCATCAGCTTTGCAAAGACTTCTCATTGAACTGCATTGAAAAAGCTGTGATTGGACAGCCACACAAAGTCTGGGCTTGGGAAAAAGGGCATGGCTTGAACAACAGCAGACGAGATAACTGCAGCTTTTGCCCCCAATGAAAAATGCATAATAAAATGCATGTTTTCATTTGCAGTATATCTATTAACCCTTTAAGGACACAGCTTCAAAAACTGGACTTACCCTAAAGGACACAAGACATTTTTGCATTTTTTGCTGCTTGTGTTCAAACACAATTTGCATCTCTGTCATTTATTGCCCCAACACATATTAAATACCATTTTGTAGAGAGCAAAAAAGGCTTTAATTTGTTGTCACATATACATACTGTAACAGAGTGTTGGGGATGGTGGTCAGGGGTGTATATCTGGCACCCAGACTTTTGCACAGCCACTATCCTGACATGTGGGTAAGCACATGCAGCCCCAGGGAAAGTTAAGTTTAAATGTAGTTTTTTTTTCCTCTGTTGTTATTTGGGTCCCTGGGGTGGAGTATTCGGAAGAGCAGGGTGGGCCGATTCTCCACCCACTGTCAGAGTGGTTGTGCATGAGTCCAGCCCAGGTTTTCCATAGAGTTCTGGCTCACTGCCTAACGAGGTCATTAGCCTCACCTGTAGGGGCTGTGAGCAGCTATATAACTGCAGTTAAAGCAGGGTGAAGGGAGGGAAGTGTTTTGGAGGAGAAAGAAGGTGTTTTGTGGAGAGAGAAGATTTGTTGATTCATTGTATCTTGTTACTTCACAACAACAGAAAATAAACAGGCCAGAGGTTTTTTTTTAAACTGGACTTTGTCTTGACCTGGTTTTCTTACCCTAGAGGGCTGTGCGGTTGCCAAAAGATCCTGGACAAACACACACAGGAAAGTAAGTTTGTCACATATGGTGGAGAATGCGGGCACTGCACTAAAGAAGCCTGTGGGTATTAACTGGAAGCCAAACAAGCCTGTAGAAATATGGAGGAAGTTGTGAAAGTCTTGTTGCAAACTACAGCTGCACAGCAAAAGGCTACAGCCGTACAGCAGGAGGCTACAGCCGCACAACAGGAAAATATTACAGCCCTACAGCAACTGGTAATTACGCAAAAGGCCAACACAGATGCTTTGATCCAGCAGGTTATGGCAGCCCAAGCTGAGGCAAACCGCCTGCTCAGAGAGGAGCAACATCAGGCCACCAGTATGATACAGAAGGAGATACAGGCTTTGACCAAGGGACTGACCAGAGTCTCGGATGGGACGCAGTCCGAGGTTAAAATGATCAGAGCCAGCCGTTACCTGCAGAAGATGACACCTACAGATGATGTGGAAGCATACCTGCTAGCTTTTGAGTGGCCGGTGAGTGAGTGGGCAAGCATACTGGCACCTTTTCTTATTGGAGAACCCCAGAAGGCTTTCTATGACCTGGAACCAGCACAGGCAGGGGTCTACTCCAAACTGAAGGCTGAGATCCTTGCACGACTTGGTGTGACTAGGGCAGTTCGTGCCCAAAGATTTCATGCCTGGTCTTTCAACCAAAAGAAATTTTGACAGATCAGGGTACACCATTTATGTCTAAAGTTACAAAGGAGTTATGCAAACTACTTCAAATTAAACATCTTAGGACTTCTGTTTATCATCCCCAGACAGATGGACTGGTAGAACGGTTTAACAAGACCTTAAAAAGTATGTTACGGAAAGTAATTGACAAAGATGGTAAGAATTGGTACTGCTTACTACCCTATCTAATGTTCTCCATAAGGGAGGTGCCACAAGCTTCTACGGGGTTCTCTCCTTTTGAGCTTCTATATGCCCATCATCCCAGAGGTCTGTTAGATATAGCAAAAGAAACCTGGGAACAGGAGTCCAATCCGTACCGTAGTGTAATTGAGCACATAGCTCAAATGCAAGATAGGATGGCGGCTGTCATGCCAATAGTTAAAGAACATATGCAGAAAGCCCAAGAGGCCCAGAAAAACAGTTATAATAAAAATGCCAGACTGAGAGTTTTTCACCCAGGAGACAGGGTGCTTGTTTTGGTCCCTACAGTAGAAAATAAATTTCTAGCATCTTGGCATGGCCCGTATGAGGTTATTGAACAGGTTGGGGAAGTTAATTATAAAGTGAGACAACCCAATAGGAGAAAACCCGAGCAAATATATCATATAAATTTACTAAAACCCTGGAAGGACAGAGAGGTCTTAACTACTTCAATTATCACTAATAAGACTGGTAGTGAACTTGAAGTAAATATACCAGACACCCTGTCCCCACACCAGAAACAGGAAGTTAGGGACTTTATTGGTAGAAACCGGGATGTATTTTCTGTAGTTCCTGGCAGGACTAACGTTATCAAGCATGATATCGTTACAGAACCAGGGGTGAAGATAAGTCTTAAACCGTACAGAATCCCAGAAGCACAGAAAGAGGCGGTAGCTGCAGAAATTAAGAAAATGTTAGCTCTTGATATTATTGAGGAATCACAAAGTGAGTGGAACAGCCCTATAGTACTGGTGCCAAAACCTGATGGTTCGTTAAGATTTTGTAATGATTTTCGTAAATTAAATAGTGTGTCAAAGTTTGATGCTTATCCAATGCCTAGGGTTGATGAACTGATAGAGAGACTGGGTAAGGCTCGTACCTGACTACTTTAGACCTGACGAAGGGTTATTGGCAAGTACCTCTTACAGACAGAGCAAAAGAAAAGACAGCTTTTTCGACATCAGGGGGATTATTCCAATACAAGGTGCTACCATTTGGGTTACATGGGGCCCCTGCCACTTTTCAAAGACTGATTGATAGGATTTTGAAGCCTCACAGCCGTTATGCAGCCGCATACTTAGATGACATAGTCATTCACAGTCCTGACTGGGCTTCACATCTTCCCAAAGTGCAGGCAGTACTGGACTCTATCCGCCTAGCTGGTTTAACTGCTAACCCATCTAAGTGTACTATAGGTTTGGAAGAGGCAAAATATCTGGGTTATTGTTGGGGATAAAATCAGCCTGGGCCCTTTGTGGATGATGGATATTTGCCAACTCATACAGAGCTCTGGAAATTGGAAATGAATAGCAGAGACGTGTTCAATAACCAATTCAAATTGTATTCATACGTCAGTTATATTTATACCCCATTTTCATAGCAGGATGGGAGGGGGGAAAATGAGCATATGGGCGTGACAATGACATTGTTTTTCACAAGTTATAAACATCTGTTTTTAGTTATAATTCGATGTTACATAATGTATGCATATTGGATAAAACCCAGATGATTACAAATACCGAAATCTTGGACAATTAACAAGGTCATTCCAGAATCCCTTCATGTCATGTCATGTCATGTAAATAACAAAATCATGTTCCAATAACATTTCCCGTAAATAGATAAGTCATTGTGACATGAGATACAATTCCAAATTTATTCTTGATTCAAATTAACCCTTACATGAACAGTTAGGATATAGAGCAAAATGGATATTCATATCCTACAATTCCTCTCTTTAGATCATATCGTGATCTACCTTATGGAATATCCATGGGAGGCCTGCGGCAGAGAAACGAAAGGAGGTATATTCAGACGTGCTAATCACGTCTGCGGGACTTTCCTTATTTCTTCACCTCGATTTCCCCCATTTGCTCTATGCCGTAGGTTTTCCCTTTAAGAGGAGATCGAGCTGTCGATTTTCAGCTTCTGTAATCATCTGTTGTACACATCTTTTAAGTGTACAAGTTAAATATTTCAAACAGCTGACATCTTAACCAATTTTAAACATACTGCACATCATGTTATCTGTAACTTGAGCCTTGGATCAAAACAGGCAAAGTGTATTATTCCTAACAACGGGAATATTATTATTATAATTCACAACGTAAACACATATAATCAAAAATGGGAATAAAATCTATTTCCCCTCTTTGGACCAGGGTCTTGGATTACCAGTCCACCCAGTGAACTTGGGCCAGGTCAAAAATCCCAGTGGCAAAAACTCATAATTGAGAAAAAAAGCACATCTGGGTAAATTCTAAGTGAGGGCCATGACTGTGTAAACATGTCATCCCCTCACGTTGACAGCATTAGTGACTTATAAAACCTGCACCATGTAAGTAAATAGCTCAGGTATCGGGATTGGGAAACACTTCTTGATTATTTTGAAAGGCCACTTACATATTAAATCATAAGATCATTTCTAATCAGTTTGCAATTCTAGCAATAATCCCAATCATGACCTTGCGTCCTATGCCTCCTAATCAAATCCCTATTTCGATAGTCCAGTCATATCCACACTTAATACATTGGAATCCATCCTTGGTACACTCAACATACATCAATGACACACATAGTACATCCATGCCTGAGTAAGCTAACACTTCCTCTCTCTCCGGCTAACTCTACAAAAATAAAAATAACAAAATAGTTCAATAGTCCAGCATAGTCCAGAAAAATATTATAAGTCTTTCAAGGAGTATAAAGAATCTTAGACACCATAAACTTTGTTCCATAATCTTAGACACCATAACATAGCTAAGGGTAGCAATATGGCTGACAACAAGACAATGTCAGCTTCCACATAGTTCTTAATTCTTCTGTTTGCTGGATGTTCACCACAATACTCTGTGCAACACCCCAATTGTTGAAAGGGTAATACAGAAATAGCGGCATTAGACAGCACTGCATCTTCAGGACTTTCCAAGTTAGTTTATGTCCTCATAAGTAAGCATCTCAGTTTCTTCGGCCAGCATGGTTTTTGACCAAACAGATTTAATTGCAAAAAAAGGTAGGTCAGCCAGAGAGATTGGTGTGTAGTCCCAAATATCAGGCAGCACAAATACTCCAGTACGGTCTCTATAATCATACAAACACAAGGATCAGTACGACATCAATAAATTAATTATCTAGGCTAAACTCAAATTAGAGACTAAAGTTAAACTCTTAACTAGTGTAACATGTACGTCTCTCAGTTTTGTTTATGTCCTTTATAAAATTTTAATACATAATTTCCCTTTAAAATGCCTTGTATGGATGAGAGAAGCACTCATTCTATATAAATGCTTGTTGAGTACTAAAACACTAACATATACATATTGGTATAATTCCCAATAAAATGCTGTTCTTAAACTTAAACCTTGATTTGATAATCTCAATTAATTACTTTAATAAAATTTTGTGGACCCTGATAACATCTTTGGAAACCGAAACCTTTTATAGATCCCGATGTGTGTGATCATGTTTTAATACATGTTGGAACCTCCATACAGTTATCCCACTTAAACAATATATTTTTTTCAGAACAACTAGGAATGAAATAGGAGAAACAAAATAAATTACTATTGTTCTAAAGTGCTTTGTTTAATACAAGTTTAGGAAGAGTTGTCTTGCTGTGTTGCAAGTGGCCTCTGATAAGGAAGGGACAGCAAACTGTAGACATATGTTATATTAAGTTGCTCTCACTTGTCAGGTCTTGGAAACCCACTTAATTTATTGCAGATGCCTCTATTATACCACTTTACAAATTGACTAAGCATACTTATTATCCTATTTTAGTTATTTCACATTGCACAGCCTATGCAAACAATGTCTAGGTCCCAACTTCAGCTTGTACATCCTCTAAGAGCCAGCATTAATACTGTTTTATCTATCAAAACTATATATAAAGTATTAAAAACATGAACCATCTGTGTATTAGGCTGAGGTTGTTGGGTGTGGGTATAGCTTGAAAGTTGTGGTTGGTATTGAGGAACCTGCCAGGGTGGGAGTCCTTGAATGCCAGCTGGGCCAGGTTGACCAGGAGAACCGGGTTCACCACAAGCAACTTTGGGTGAATCCATGCTATCCATAATTAAAACAGTGCTGAAGTTACCATCTCTACAAAAGTTAAATCCTTTGATCAAATTCTCTGCCTCTAAAACTTTTCTGATTCAATCTATCACCTCCAAACTTTCTTTGTCTCGCCTGCTTAAGATCACAATCCTTTTGTGACCGATACAACATACTTTTCCCTTTTTCTTTATATCCAAAACAACCTGCTGTATCTTTCTCATGAATCTTCCCAAGAAATTCAGTTGGGGTCAAAGAGGGCCAGTCACAGACCAACAGTTTGACCAAAAGTGAACAAGGAGGAAGCATATTCCATATGAAGGTCGAGATGACTTAACTCACACCCCCTCTTTGTGTACACCTATTTGTGTACCACACAGATATAATATTAATAGGCTTTTGAAGATTTATTGTGCATGTATAGCACGGTCTAGGGGTGTATACATAAACAGTGAAAGCAGAGTCTTCGTATAGGGTTTGCAATACTGACAGTCTGTGTCATAGGTGTAATGCAGACATGTGGTTAGGTACTTTTCCATTGTCAGAACACTAATATATTGCAAATATTAAAATCATATTGCAGCTGTTTCCTATACCTGCAAGGATATGGTTTTAATACTTCAATTGAGTTCAAATTGAGTATCAAAAATTCTAACCACAAAAACTAAATTTTATATGCTTATCAAAATGAGTTTAACCCCTTAGCAATTTAATAGGGTGACCTCTTCCCATAGTATGGTTCCTTTTATTATTATTATATTATTTATTCTCTTCTGGGTCTGCAAAATGCTTTCAATATACCAATACAAATATAATACAGTAGTTTAGAATTGCCTCAAAAGAAATTATCTGATCTCTATTAAAAATACCATTTCATCATTTTCCTATAATCAATGAGGCATACTAGATGAATCTTAATCTTGGAAAAAACCTATCCTATACATCCATAATTTTTCTTGTTATATAACCATATAACGTAACACATTTTTCTTTTCTTAAATAATGCAATGCACTTTAAAAGTAGCGTTAACTCTAAATACTCCCCTAATAATACTGAAACGTGGATCCACGATTTTGAAAAGCAAATGATATATTTTTTCTTTTTCTTTCCCAGGGGCCCCTTTCTTGTTGGCTGATCAGCGTTTTTTTAATCTGTTGTAAAAAGACACTAAAGACTTGTGTTAATGACATGCAAATATTCTTTAAATATTCTTCATACTCATTGTAATATCACACATCAACTTATAGCACAGAAAACATGTAGCAGATATCCAGCAGACATGCCAATACCAAAAGCATATTCATGGACAGGCAATTAACTCAATCCAAAATAAATTAATAAATGTCACACTATGTGACGGACATAATTTGGTTCTCATATTTGTGCATTATGCATGTCTGCAAACAATGCAAGCAGTACTGCTTTAAGATTAGATCAGAGCACCTGGCAACTGGACAGGAAAGTCAAATTTTGGCAGGAAGTCCATTATTGCAACAGAATTTTGGAAATCAGCTAAAATTTACAAAAACAGACTCCCTCTTTTTTTCTTTCTTAAGACTACAACTCATATTGCTCTTGGACTAGTATTCTCTAATAAATCAGTTGTTTAATAGATTATTACGCTGCCATTTTCATCTGTATCAATACTAAGACAAACTTATTCAAATATAATTTAAAATAACACATAATAAATTAACATACATGACAATTAAACTGCGCACTTCAAAATGAGTAACCAAAACAAACATTTATGACAATCATCATTCACACAGAATAAACTTCTAACAGCTGTATTCAGAACATATTATTGTAAGGTATACCAATTTTAGTTTGTATCAGATTTATTTAAGATTTCTGGTACCAAAGGGTTTATTTTTTATTTTTTACAGAAGGGATCCCGTACGGCCATATAACGCGTTTGACTTAAACATTTGTATAACACTTGCATTAACCAGTTGCAACATATGTACCCTGTCAATGGAATTTCTCTCTTATACGCTTATAGAACATTTGGACCAGATTACACAGACATGGTATCACCTGCATTTGTCAGAACTCTCAAAGACTCAAAATATTTATACTACTCCATGTTAAAGGCATGGCAAAATTTTGACCGGTCAATTTGAGTTTCCAAAAGTCATATCAACACAGGTAAAAACCTTTGTCCATGGTTTTCTGATCCTACATTCCATGACCAAAATTTCAAACCCACTTCTTCACAGTTTGGGTCGCAAGCAATAAAATCTCAGCATTCCCATACAACAATTTACAGAATACATACAATTTAAAGCACATACAACATGTGACGTACTGGAATACTACAAGTTAGCTTACAGCACAATATGAAGCATGTGTTGGAACGCTGAAAATATACATTTTTCTCTCTAATTCATAATCATCTAAATTTACAACATAAGTTCTCTGCAACAAACACTCAGGGCAGAAAGAATGTGGTGTTTGACGTTTTGAATGAAGTGACTTTTTGTCCCAATATGAAAATAAAGGGCTCATCATATAAACAATCATACATCCCACTCTCATGAAAAAGTGTAGTGGGCTTATAGTACTTTTGACCAAATATAAAAATAAGGGGCTCATTATGCAAACAAACATACATGCAGAGAAATCATGTTAGTTCTAGAATTTGTAGCCCCCCTTAAATAACCTCTAGTTTTTTTTCTTATTCCTCATCACCATTAGATGTACTTTTTACATTCCCTCAATTAAGACTTTATGCTTAAAATTAGCGTTGCACATCATAAAATAGCCGGAGTAATGCCAAACATCCATCATACCTTTTAACCCCCCTTTTTTTTATTTTATTTTTTTTTTAATAACCATTTTAGTCTGAAAAATTGACATCTACGTTAAATAAATACCACAGTCCACCAAAGACTGGAAATCTGTTTTACAACCTACCAAAGGCAACCTCTACCAAAGAGGGATCTAGGGACGTCTCCCATATGTAAGTGTACATCACAGGTACATCACAGCCTACCAAAGGCTTGAAATTATTTTTAACACCTGGCCAAAGGTGAACCTCTTACCAAAGAGGAAATGTGCACAATAACTACTACTACCTACCAAAGGCAATCCTCCAACCCGTGGAGTAATAGAAGTCTACCTAAGACTTAACAAAATACCATGTCTACCAAAGACATTATCCTGTGAAAATCCCCTTTAAAAATGTAAATAGTGAAAAACCCCATTAAAACAAGAAATGCAATGTGTGGGAGGATGGCAGAAGCAGGCAAAGGTCCCCAACCCCCTAAGGACACACGACAGAAATACTCCGTCATGATACCCTTAAATTCCAGAAGTTGTGTCCCCAAGGGGCTAAAGACCCCCTTACCTGCAACTCCGTTCCTAATTGCACCCAAACTTCTGACACCAGTTTGTTGGGGATAAAATCAGCCTGGGCCCTTTGTGGATGATGGATATTTGCCAACTCATACAGAGCTCTGGAAATTGGAAATGAATAGCAGAGACGTGTTCAATAACCAATTCAAATTGTATTCATACGTCAGTTATATTTATACCCCATTTTCATAGCAGGATGGGAGGGGGAAAAATGAGCATATGGGCGTGACAATGACATTGTTTTTCACAAGTTATAAACATCTGTTTTTAGTTATAATTCGATGTTACATAATGTATGCATATTGGATAAAACCCAGATGATTACAAATACCGAAATCTTGGACAATTAACAAGGTCATTCCAGAATCCTTATCATGTCATGTCATGTCATGTCATGTCATGTAAATAACAAAATCATGTTCCAATAACATCTCCCGTAAATAGATAAGTCATTGTGACATGAGATACAATTCCAAATTTATTCTTGATTCAAATTAACCCTTACATGAACAGTTAGGATATAGAGCAAAATGGATATTCATATCCTACAGTTATTCGATTGGGAGAGGACTAGTTAAGCCCCAAACAGCAAAAGTGGAGGCCATACAAAATTGGCCACGCCCCCTCACTAAAAAGCAAGTTAGGACTTTTTTAGGACTTATTGGGTATTACAGGCGATTTATTCCTAGTTTTGCTACATTAGCAGCTCCTTTAACGGATCTCACAAAAGGTAAAGCCCCACTAGTGGTTAAGTGGTCAGTAGAGGCAGAAAAATCGTTTGTAACTTTGAAAGAGGCTTTGTGCACCCAACCGGTTCTGGTAACCCCGGATTTCACTAAAGAGTTTATTGTCCAAACCGATGCATCAGAGCTTGGGTTAGGGGCAGTTCTGTCTCAGGAAATTCAGGGTGAAGAACACCCAGTGTTTTATTTAAGTAGGAAGCTGACTCCCGCTGAGAAAAATTATTCTATAGTGGAAAAGGAATGCCTTTCCATAAAATGGGCCTTAGACTCATTGAAATATTATCTGCTGGGTAGAAAATTTAGGTTGGTCACAGACCATGCCCCCTTAACCTGGATGAGTCAAAACAAAGATAATAATGCCAGGGTGACAAGGTGGTTCCTCAGTTTACAACCATTTCATTTTACGGTTGAACATAGGCCGGGGTCTAAACATGGAAATGCTGACAGTTTGTCGCGAGAAAATTTGTTTTCTGTGGTCGCTCACCCCACTAGGTCTGAGCTGGGGGGGAGGATATGTAACAGAGTGTTGGGGATGGTGGTCAGGGGTGTATATCTGGCACCCAGACTTTTGCACAGCCACTATCCTGACATGTGGGTAAGCACATGAAGCCCCAGGGAAAGTTAAGTTTAACCCCTTAAGACCGGAGGGCGTACTATTACGTCCTCTAATAGGCGGCTCTAAACGCCGCCGGGCGTAATAGTACGCCCTCCGGTCTTTCTGTACTTACCCGGTCCCAGGGAGCCCCCCGCGGCACGACCGTCCTCCAGGAAGCCCCCCGGCCGTGTGAGAGTGGGGTCCTAGCGAGGACCCCACAATCACATGGCCGGGGATAGCTGGCTTCTGTATTGCCAGCAGGGGGGCTGCCTGTAATGACAGGTGGTCCCCTGCTGGCTGAAAATAAAAATGAAATAAATAAATAGTGTAAAAAAATAAATAATATATACTTAGATCATATATATATATTATATATATATGATCAAAGTATATATATACACATATACATACACACATGTACACCGTCTAGGTGTATTTTACTATTAATATATATATAATTATATATATATATTAATATCAAATTACACGTACACTGATACTGATTAAATATATATATAATTATTGTTATATATATATTTATATATATTATAAAAAAAATTAAAATGTAAATACGTTAAAAAATAAAATTACAAAAATAATTAAAAATAAATAATTAAAAATATATAGATGTGTGTTATTTCGTTCTAACTGTATTGTGAAATTAATATATATATATATATATATATATCAAAATACACATAGAACGAAATAATATATATATTTATACACATAAATATATACGTATATATCACTATATATATACCTATATATAAATAAAAATATTTTTAAAAAATTATATAGATATATACATATATATACACATACGTATATATATACATATATTGATTCTACATATATATTTATGTAATATTTTTACATAATTAGGTATCTTAATTAATTACAATTAGCAGGACCTGCATGACAACCCATGCCGAAAGTAAAGGGAATTTAATTTGCTAGCACTATATTTAACCCTATAACTTTCCGAGACACCATAAAACCTGTACATGGGGGGTACTGTTCTACTCGGGAGACTTCGCTGAACACAAATATTAGTGTTTCAAAACAGTAAAATGTATTACAACGATGATATCGCCAGTAAAAGTGACGTTTTTTGCATTTTTCACGCACAAACAGCATTAAACGGACAATATTATTGCTATGATACTTTTTACTGTTTTGAAACACAAATATTTGTGTTCAGTGAAGTCTCCCGAGTACAACAGTACCCCTCATGTACAGGTTTTATAGTGTTTTCAAAAGTTACAGCGTCAAATATAAGGCTTGCGTTTCATTTTTTTCACATTAAAATTCGCCAGATTGGTTACGTTGCCTTTGAGACCCTATGGTGGCCCAAGAATGAAAATTACCCCTATGATGGCATACCATTTGCAATAGTAGACAACCCAAGGTATTGCAAACGGGGTATGTCCAGTCTTTTTTAGTAGCCACTTAGTCACAAACACTGGCCAAAATTGGCGTTTTTTGAATTTTTCACACACACAAACAAATACTAACGCAAACTTTGGCCAGTGTTTGTGACCAAATGGCTACTAAAAAAGACTGGACATACCCCATTTGCAATACCTTGGGTTATCTACTATTACTATTGCAAATGGTATGCCATTATGGGTGTAAATTTCATTCCCGGGCTACTATACAGTCTCAAAGGCAACGGAACCAATCTGGCGAATTTCAATTTCAAATGTAACGTGCTATATTTGACCCTGTAACTTCCCAAAACGCCATAAAACCTGTACATAGGGGGTACTGTTTTACACGTGAGACTTTGCTGAATACAAATATGTGTATTTTATTGCAGTAAAAGAAAACAGTATTATGACACTGACCGTTTAAATGTCATGTAGAACTAAAAAAATCCAATAAAATCGTATTTTCTCCCATTTTTTTCATATTAAATTATGTTTCATAGCTAAATATTTGATATTAAATGAAAGCCCTGTTTCCTGAATAAAATGATATATAATAAGGGTGAGTGCATTTACTATGAAAGAGGTGAATTACGGTTGGACAGACATGTAGCGCAAATGCCAGGTTTTGTTTACATTTTGTTTTGTTCACAACGTGTACATTTGGCTCCGTCCTTAAGGGGTTAAATGTAGTTTTTTTTCCTCTGTTGTTATTTGGGTCCCTGGGGTGGAGTATTCGGAAGAGCAGGGTGGGCCGATTCTCCACCCACTGTCAGAGTGGTTGTGCATGAGTCCAGCCCAGGTTTCCCATAGAGTTCTGGCTCACTGCCTAACGAGGTCATTAGCCTCACCTGTAGGGGCTGTGAGCAGCTATATAACTGCAGTTAAAGCAGGGTGAAGGGAGGGAAGTGTTTTGGAGGAGAAAGAAGGTGTTTTGTGGAGAGAGAAGATTTGCTGATTCATTGTATCTTGTTACTTCACAACAACAGAAAATAAACAGGCCAGAGGTTTTTTTTTAAACTGGACTTTGTCTTGACCTGGTTTTCTTACTCTAGAGGGCTGTGCGGTTGCCAAAAGATCCTGGACAAACACACACAGGAAAGTAAGTTTGTCACAATACATAAATTCTCATTAAAAAAAAATGCCCACAAAATAATAGCGTGTGCATACTATGTCCAGCTTAGAAAAAGTAATTAAAAATAAATTAATGTATGTGTCTTGATTTATAGAGTACATAATATGTATAGGATTTCAAAATATTTTGAAAGTTACAGGTCACAAAATAAAAGGACTAAAATACATTTACAATGTGAAACAATTTTAGAAGTTATGTTTGTTTTGTAGGTTTAGTAGCCATCACAGAAAATACATTTGCCACACAAAAGTATATATTTATATAAAGTAGACATCACAGGCTATTTACCTAAGGTTATTTTGACACTTTTTACGTAGCCATTTCATCACTAATCTCTGCTAAATATTGGAGTAAAATTGTGTTTCTCTATTTTGGTATATTCACATATAACAAGGTTTTTGTAATGTGTATTTCGTAAAGCTGGTGTGTGCTATTCCTGCACAGAACCCCATATTGTGTTCATCTACATCTGCTGAGTATAGCCAGGGCCGGACTGGCCCACCGGGATACCGGGAAATTTCCCGGTGGGCCGTTGGCCGCCCTAAATTCTTGTAAGACTGGCCGCGGCGGGCCGGCCCTTTAAATACTGCAGCCGCCTGAGCGAGCGCTCTGTGAAGAGCCTCAGGCGGCTGCAGCACATTTTCTCCTCTCACTTTCCCTCCCCTCCCCTGTAGCGTGGCCGAGCTGCACTCCGGTCCGCGGTGGCCGGCCCGAGTGATAGGAAGGTGCACACTGAGTGTGCACTTCCTGTCAGTCCGGCCGGTTACAGGAAACAGAAACTCCGCGCGGAACAGGGGGGTAAGAAGAGGGAAGAGGGGGGGTAAGAAGAGGGGACGGAGGGGAATAAGAAGAAGAGGGGAGGGGGGAGTAAGAAGGAGGGGAGATAAGAAAAAGAGGGGGGTAAGTAGAAGAAGGTGAGTAAGAAAAGATGGGGAGTAAGAAAAGGGGAGGGGGAGTAAGCAGGAGGGGAGATAAGAAGGGGGAGTAAGAAGAAGTAGGAGGGTTAAGAAGAAGAAGGGGCGAGTAAGAAGAAGAAGAGGTGGTAAGAAGGGGGAGCAATACGAAGGAGGGATGACCAAGGGGGGAAGTAAGAAGAACACAGGGAGGAGGGGGGGTAAGACGAACACAGGGGGGGTGAGGAGAACACATAGAGGGAGGAGTGAGAAGAACACATAGAGGGAGGAGTGAGAAGAACACAGGGAGGGTGGAGGGTGGGATGAGAAGAGTACAGGGAGG